CCCCAAAACCCCAAAACCCCAAAACCCCTTTAAAAATTTTTGAATGGATTAGCAAGGTCATTTTGAAATTAATTAAGATATGAGTCGAAGTTTTTGTTTGGTTACAATAAATCCAAAAATTCAAATCACTCATTTTATTCAATATTATTCTTTTTTATGATCAATCTTAATTAGATATTTAGCAGCAATCATCCTGTGAGACTGTAACAATGTCTGTGAGACCAACTTGAATGACAACTTGATCTTTTTTCTTATCTTTAGACAGTATTTTCCCAGTCTCTCCTCTGAATTCACCCTTGAGTACTGCAACTGGTTCATTCAAATCTCTAGGTAAAACAGTTTCAAGATCCTTCTCTCTTAAATCATCATAAACTCGCTTGCTTGAACTATCAGCTTAGAGAGGGACAGCCAAAAATCTTGATTCATTTAATACATCTGTGACTTTTAGTTTAGTGTTATAGAGTTTTCCTTCCTCAATTTTTTTCGATATCACTCTTACTATTAATCCTGGCAATATCCACTTAAGCTTTTTGAAATTCTTGTTCTAATCTTTTCTATTTCTTCTATTATCATATGACCTGCTACGCGATCTCTTATTTGATTTACTAAATTTCTCATAGTTATTCTTCATTTTATTATTTTTATCCTAATCTTCCTTATCATTTTCTTTTTAGAATTACTCTAGTTATCTATTTTCACTTCTCAGTACTATTCTTTTCCTCTTTACATTAATAAGAGTTTAATTAAGGGCAAGTTCTACGCTGACATATGCATCTCCATCTATCTCATCATTAACTTCCTCACCCATGACTTTCTACTACTATCTTAAGCCCTTTTTAGGATCAGAAAGGGCTATTATTTTTCCTTCTAGACCCTTATGGGTGCCTCCTGTAATGCAGACAATACTGCCTATTTGCATTTTCTCCCTCTATTTGAGTTAGGTATGTATACTCTTAAAATTCTTACCCTCTGCTCCCTCTAATTAAGTGTAATCCTCAGTTACAGCTAGTTTTCTCTTATCATAATCATCTCCCATTTTCTTCAATTATTCCTTAGTTAATGGTCTTGCTCCCAACCCCAGACGATGCTAGCGAGGCATGTAATCAATTGGCTAAACTATTTTGCCATTTTGTGAAGTTCTTCCTAAGATTATTCCCTCTGACCATCCTAGTTTCGCTAGAACTGATTTTCCAAAGTTCTCTATAGGCATTCTATCATAAGCATCTTCATCCATATCTTTACCAATATATGCATTTTATTTAGGTAGTTCAAATTGATGACTGTTCAAATGAGAACCTGATTGATTATCTCTACCTCTATTTAAATACAAGTGTGCTGGGAATAAATGACTGAAGCTCACATCTGTCTGAGCGTTATCTGTTGTATTAGTGTCTATTTACTCATTTTAAGGTGATTAATTAGTTGTATCATTCGTTGACTGATTGAAGTAAGTTCTATCAGGATTTGTGGTTTAATTATCTATTCGTTATATCGCTACTTCACTACTACTCATTATTATATTATATATTATAATCAACCCATCTAAGAATTATGCTAAATATTCATTGAAGGGGTTTTGGGGTTTTGGGGTTTTGGGG